AATTGCAAATGTAGTTTCAAAATCTTAATAAAGCACTAGTGTGACTGCTTAAGTTTAAAAAAAAAAAAAAAAAAAAAAAAAAAAAAATGAAGGTATAAAATTTTAAATAAATATAACAGATCAAGTATATCATAAGAAACCCCATTAGTTAGATTGTTTATTATTAATTAAATTATAGTAAAAGTTTCTTATATTATACTTGATTCAAATATCAATAATTAAAAAATTTAGCAGAAGTTTTTTTTTTGATTTTAATAGCTAACCTACTTTGGTGCGTCAAGTATAACCGAGGTTTACATAAGAAAAACTTCTTCCTGCATTGTGAATACAAAATAAATTTCCAATTATATTATATAATTAGAAATTTTACTTTGTATTTACAATACAGGAAGATAAACTCTCCTTATATAAACCAGGGTTACATTTGACGCATTAAAAAAGTAAGGCAACTGTTAAAAACTGAAAAAGATCTGCTAAAAAAAATTCAGCATGCAAAATAATAATTAAAAGTTATTACTCAGAGTCTTCACCTTGAAAATAATTTTATAAGACATAATAATTACTATGTCCTATAAGTTTGTTTTTAGAAAAAGGCCCTATTATACCAAAATTTTAATTTTAACTAACGTATATTGTATATATTATATCTTCAAGAAATACCTAATTATAATTCGGAATCTGATTTATCTAATGAAGAAGAAGAAGAAAGTGACATATTCTCTAATGCACAGGAAAATCAATCTGATAATCCTGAATTAATTGTAAAAGATACACAAACAATTATTTACAACTCACTTTTTGAATATTGGGATCGCTCATCACAAATTTGCCTTCTTTCCACATTATTAGATTTTCAGCTAAAAGAAATGACATTTACAAATGAAGAAGCTCGCAAGAATACCAATGATGAATGTAGATACCAACTTCGTCACTATATGAATATAGCATCAGAAGAAAGTATTATTTCATCTAGCTCGATAAACCTCTCTTCTAACAATATGTTTAAAGACCTTATATTTGGTAAAGCTCAAAGGTTGCAAGAATCTATAGATGATTTGGATTGTTACCTTGACTTTAGGCGGACACTGTAGCCTCTCCTGATTATGACCCTCTTTTATGGTAGTATAGCACTAAACTCAATTTCCAATACTTTCAAAACTAGCAAGAAAATACCTTGGTGTCCCCACTACTTTTGCTTCTAGCGAATGTATTTTTTCAGACACTGGTAATCATATTACTCCTCGACATTCCAATTTAAAACCAAAATTAGTTTCTCAAATGTTATTTTTAAAAAGAAATGATAATTTTGTTAATATGTTTCCTAGCTCTCATATATATAAAACAAAAGGTAATTAAGATTTAACTAATTTTTTTTTTATTTTAATTATAAAAATTTTGTAAAAATGTATACTTATCCTTTTGAAAATTTAATGTTTATATCATATGATTAGCATAAAATTTTTTTTTTTTGAAATAAGAAAGATTTTACAAACCCTGATGAAAATTTTTATAACAATTAACCCAAAGTATTTTTTATATCAAAGTCATTTATGCGATATAATGATTTCACTTTATCTTTCGCTAAACTTGACCATAATTACTGCAATCCAAAAATCATAGCTGTTGATCAGTTATAATAGAGACCTTTACTATAATAGTTTTATTTGCTAGTTTTAACTATCTCTTTGAACTCTTTGAATATATATATATTTAGTATAAATTTACATGCAAATAAAAAAGTATTTTTATAAATGAATATGTAAAATTTTTTATTGCTACACAAAGTACAAGTGGCGATTTCATACTATGTACATTCCTATAGTATGATTGGCAGTTTAAATTAATTTAATTTTACATTATTTATATAGTTTAAAGTACTTTTTAAAAAAAATAAAACTATGAAGAATAAACAAAAAAGAAGTATATAGAAAGTTGTATTAGAGTTATAGGACTTAACTATTAAAAATAATTAGAATTATTTCTGACTTTGAAGGAGTTAGCATATTAGTGACTTCTTAAAGATAGATAAAATTAGGTTATTATTATACTAACTTCTCTAAAACCAGAAATGATTTTGATTATTTTTAATAGTAAAGTCCTACAGCCCTAATAAAACTTTCTATATACTTCTTTTTCATTTATTTTTTGTAGTTTTATTTTTTTTTAAAAAGTACTTTAAATTGTATAAATAATGTAAAATTAAATTGACTTGATCAGCCAATAATACGAAAGTCTTCCTATAGTGTACATTCTAGTAACGAGTTATCTGATTATGCAGGGTTATCTGATTATGCCAGGTTATCTGATTATGCTAGGTTAATCAGGTTAGCCAGGTTAATCAGGTTATCTGATTATTCTGAGTTAATTGATTAAACATTTTCTCAACCAGTTAACTCAAAATTTTTCGGTTTAGCTCAGTTATCTGGTTAAAACTTGATCAGTTTAAGTTGCTAGATAGGACACAGGTCCTCATCTTTATTATCGTCTGTGGAAGTTTGGTCTCTATCGAATGTTTCTAGTGCTATAGATTCTAGAATCATCGAGTATCTTACTTCCTTTTTATAGGGTTTGCCAACGTATCTCTCATCATCATATGGGTCAAGTGGCTTATCACCTGGAATGTGGTTAGAAACAGGCTCCTCATCATTCAATTTCTCATCTAGTTTCAATTTGTTCCAGATGGTGGCTAAGAAGGCCTCGACTTCTTCTTCTTTGTACCACCTGTTTCTTATGATGTGGCTGTCTGCGGTGATGGTAAGAAATCATTCTTCAAGCTTGATTTCAAAATGGTCATCTACTATGTATTCTTCCTTTATAACCCATCAGTTTTTGCTTCTTGGAGGTCCATTAAGGTGGTTGTAAAGGTCTTTTTTACTTTTAGGTTCTGAAAAAATGTGTTCCAGCAAATACATGCACTCCCTCTCCTTTATTCCATATTCTTTCTCCTTAGTTAGGTCCCACCAGGCTTCTTTAGCTCTGAGGTGGTAGTTATGTGAATACCCAGGTCATAAGTTTCATCTTCCAATTTATCTTTATAGTCATTCCAGTCTTCACTGCCTTGTTCTTGCACTAATGCTATATATGTTTTCTCTTTTGGTTCAAGTGCTTCTCCCTATTTGTACAGTGGCCATGTTCTAATAAACATCTTATTGTTTTTCGATGAATCCACATCTAGACTAACTTTTTTTCTTCTCCTTTCTCAGGTTCGTTTTGCTTAGAAGTCAGTTCTAATTCTATGTCTCTGTTCTTAGTAATGACTTCTGATTCGGGTTCAATTCTTCTTGACAATGCATCAGTATTAGAATGAGCCCTACCAGCCTGATGCTCGATCGTGTAGTTGTACAGCTGTAGTTGTAAGATCCATCAAGCTCTTTTGCCTTTCAACTTCGACATCTGTAACCATTTTAAGGCTGAATGGTCTGTTACTACCACAAACGGTTTGAATCCGAAATAGTAGTGATAATATTCAATAGCCCAAAGAACTGCAAGACACTCCAGTCAGGTTGCAAAATAGTTTTGTTCACTTTGGAAAGACTTCGGCTGGCATAGGAAATAACATGTTCCTTATTTTTTTCACCTTTTTGCACCAGAACTACACCTAAGCCTTTTCCAGAAGCATCAGTATGGAGATAGAACGACTTATCAAAGTTTCAGTACTGAAGAATGGATGCCAAAATTAAGTGTTTTTTTAAGTTTTCGAAAGCATCTTGCTGTTGACTTTCTTACTCATACCGAATGTTCTTTTGCAATAGGTGATGTAAGGGCTTAGCAATCGTAGCAAACCCTTGAATAAATCATCGGTAGTATGAGGCCAAACTGATAATGCCTCATAGTTGCCGAAGGGTCCATGGTACAAAAAAGAGTTTAACTTTCTCTATCTTTATTTCATCAGACCTGATCCCGTTACAACCTATCACATGGCCAAGAAAGTGGATATTTGGTTTGAAAAATGAACATTTTTCAATGTTTATTTTTAGTCCAATGTTGCCTAATTTCTTAAACACTTCTCATAGATGCCTCAAGTGCTCATTGAACATTTCAGAGTACACATTGATATCATTAAAGTAGATTACAATGAACTTCCCAATATATTTCTTCAAAACTTTGTCCATAAGTCTTTGGAAAGTCTCTGGAGCATTACATAGGCCAAATGGCATTACATTGAACTCGAAAAGGCCACTTTGAATAACAAAGGCCATTTTCTCTTGGTTCTTTTCAGCCATTCTAATCTGCCAATACCCACTTTTCAGATCCAAGCTTGAGAACCAATTGGCTGTCCTAAAGGTCTTCAGCAAGTTGTTGATCCTTGGTAGTGGGTAGGCATTTTTTTTCATTAGGGCATTTAACTTTTGGTAGTCAATACATAATCTCAATTTCTCTTCTTTCTTCAGTACAATTACTATGGGGATGCCCAAGGGCTGCTGAATTTCCTAATCAACCCCTATGCTTCCATGTCAATTATTTCTTTTTCAACAAACTCTTGTTTACTAGGGGAGATTCAGTATGCATGCTGTTTGACTGGTTTCGCTAAGGTGGTATCGATTTGGTGAGTTATTATGTCCATTTTACTGAGACCTTGCATATCTTTTGCAAACAATAACTCTTCTTGTCTAAAAAATTCTAATGTTTTTTTCTTTTTCTCCTTTTTTAGGATATTGGTTTGCGTAAACTTTTCTAATTGTTTGGCTACCATGGATTCATTCTCTTCTTCTTCTACAGGTAATTCATCAATACTAGTCAAATAGATCACCAGACTAACTTCGTCATTCTATGAATTGTAATATAGTCTGTCCTCCTTACTAGATACCTCTTCAGTGTAGTACCCCTCAGCCTCGTTTAGCTTTTTGTTCTCATAAGTGAATTCATTAAATGTATCTTCACTATCACTTTTCCATGAGTCCTTTTCTTCTAGCTTTTTTTTTTTTTTTTTGGTATTAAGGTAAGGCCTTGCTCATATCTTTATTAATAATTTTAACTGTATATTTTAGTAC